CTACTTTGCTGAAAATAGCGCCAGATGAATTTCACTGCTGCAGCAAACTGTTGTTGTTTCATTTGCCAGAGAGCGGCACGCGACCCGCTGCTGCGTCACTCTACCGCTATTTCGGTGCCTCCGCCTCCTTTCCCCAGCCTTTGGGCCTATCATGTTTGCACTCTTACTGCAATTTCAATTCTAATGCAAAATTAATTAATATTCTGGTTGCTGTGTTTGTCTATTTGTTTTCATTTATTTGTGGGTTGTTTGTAGATTTGCATGCAGTGTGCTTGTTTGTAGGTATGTGTCTGTCTTCCTTGTTTGTGCTGGCAAGTAGCTTAATTAAAACCATGCACTAAAGCGGTCGTCAGCTGGCGCATAGTGAACACACACATATGCATACAAACACATAAATAAACAAAGCTGAAATTAAAGTTAGCAAATTGCACTTTCGCTCTCTGCCTTCTTTGTTGTCTGCCCACACACACACACACATGCAGATCGATGCGAACTGGCCGCTTGTTTGATGATTGGCTTTGTTGGACTCCACATTCTTTGTTCTTCTGTAGCTCTTTTGTTTACTTTATAATTTAATATGAAGTTTTCATTTGTGTGCGATGCATGCACTTAATATCTACATACACACATATGTACAAATGTATTTGAAATTTGAGAAGTCGTGCAACATTCCAAAGGTTAAATACATATATATACAATGAAGATGTATGCGGAAATAAAGATGAAGATTAAATATGAAAATAAAGGCAAACACAAAAAGTGGTCAATTGATTCCTTCCCGCTCTCATCGCCGCCGTTTCTGTAGCGAGAAGTCGCTGGTATTCGCCATCGTTGGAGCATCGCTGCCATGCAGATCTATACAGTTTCGGAAGGTCTCCCATCTTCTTACTATTTAACCGCGGCTATAAGGGCCCTAAGGCTTCGGAATCATGGTTATATAGATTTGTCTGCCTCACTTATTGGCATCTCAAGGCCATCTCTGTTCATCTCATCAGCTGCCAAAGATGCCACGAATTCACTACCTGCATTTTATTGATTTCATAGCCGCCTGTCTATCGACGAAGATTAACTGTCTACTCTATAGCATACATCACAGCTTGGAAGACTCTGCAGCCGTATCGCACAGCATTCTACTTACGAGTATTTGCCTATCGCATCGCATTGCCCTTTCGAATCGCATTACAGACTACTGATCTGCAAATCCTTCAAGCAGAAGCCGTTACCGGAGCTGTGACCGTATTCGGCGGTGTGAAATCCTTTTCCTCAACGTAATCAAGTTTCCCTGCCTTAGGGATAAATATAACCCAACCTACTTCAAAGCTTTCGGGTCGTCGATCTAAGTTGCCCTAGCTCAGCGTTCCAACTAAGTATTACGGCAAATCCGTCTCGCTTCCCTATTCAGTCCCCTATATGTAGAGGTCATGCCGTGTAGGCGACATATTTTTCTCTCCGCTGCTTCGTGACATTCCTCGTCCTACAAGTTGTACTTTCGACCTCACTGAAATCCAAGTATTACCTATTCGGCGACGGTATATAATGACTGGGTAATGTAGCTCCACTGAACGCAAGATTCGGGATTGAGTACAGCATTTCCTAAAAACAACTATGCATCTTGTCTGGGTATAATGCCGCAGCACACTTGTCATTACCCTCACGCTTTTATTTACGTAAATGCTAGCCACTTGAACTGTCCAACCGATTTATGTAAGTTCACAGGCACTTATCAGCTGTGAACTTGTTCTTTTAACTTTTTTATTCTACTTGAATTGCCGTTCGCTAATTTTTAAATTTGTATCGCGTGGGCGCGTCAAAAATTTCAATTGCGCTTTCTCGACACAATTGTCGTCGCCGATCTGCGTGTTTGCCGCTTTACGCCCTGGGGTCATTTGTGAATTTGGTGTACTTGACTTTTAACTTAGCGTTAAGTTGTTAACAAATTTCACAGACACAAAGGCGAGGGTGTGCTTGCTGCCCACCTACACACATATATGCCACGTCCCCGCCTTCATGCAACGCTCGCCGCTAACTACTACCGCGACTGCTTTACTGTTGTGGTAGTAGTGGTTAAATAATGAGAAGCTGCTTCTGTCGTTAAGTGAAATGATGAAAATGCTAATGTACGTCGCTCGTGCGCTTCTCGTTGTATCTGTCTTACTCTTATCACTCACATTATCATCGTTTCCATTTTCCATCAAGATGCGACGCCGACAAATTCATGGTCGTAGCCGTTGTCTCTTCCAGCGTGGCTGTTACTTTTGTATTTCGTACTTAATTAATGGCATGACATGAAATCGGTGCGCAGCATTTTACTATCGTCTCCCATGTCACGCGCTTAGCCCCGAGGGCTTTGTTGGGTCGCAGAAACTACTCTTTCTTGCTTTTTGCTACGAAATTCGGAGGGACCATTAAAGTAAAGATGGCCTTGGAAGGTCGTACAATTTTTTGTTTTTTGAGTTTTCAATTATGCTCTTTCATACCAGAACTTTACATCGTTTAAGCCTCTTTCATTACTTGCTTTAATAAATGATTTTTTCTTTGTAATAATTTCGGTTTCGGTTGCACGAAAATCCGCTAAAGTGAGCTAACAAAAGATTGAGTGCCCAAAACGAAAAAAAAAATTCAAGTGAAAATTAATTTATTGGCTTATATTTCGCTACATTTCCCTCAACTTGCAATTGGATACAGCTTGCTTCTATCTTCGCAGAAATTATGCTTACCAGCAGTTGCAAGGCGAGAAAATTACCCCAAAATACAGCGAATATCCTAAACATAATAAATTAATTAAGGGCGGCGGGCCACTGAATCCCGAAATGCCATGATTTGCAACAAAAACCTTTATATACGAAAAATTTACAACAACAAAAACATCACTCATTCTCAGCTATCCACCTACTGGAGTGATTGACTGACAAGCAAGCTGGTGGAGTAAGTCACTTAGTGCCCTACTGCCTGACTGACTTGAACCTCGAACAAAAAGTAGCGAAGGGGAGATATAATGAATGACCTAAGCAACTGAGAGTGATAACTTTGTGAGCAAATTCGCCAGCCAACACCATACCAGCAGCGGCTGATTCAAAGCAGCAAGAAAGTCAAAAAATTTACTTCATTTGGTGGCTCTGCGGGAAAGCAGGCAGCCCGGCTTGGAGCAAAACAGGGTCCCTTTTTTAGAAATCTATACCAAGGAATTGACTTTGGTTGGCGTGTGGCAACAGCAAGGGGGTGAGAGCGTATAAAAAGCACTCACAATACTTGACAACATAGCAAATGAGTTGGAAGACGAAGAAGAAGCAGTAGCAGCAGGCAGAAGGTGAAGTTGCAACAAATGCGTACTAAAGTTGCTAATTTACGGGTGCAATCACCCGTGCTGCCACCGCTCCAATGGTCATTTTCGTATTAAACTGCAGCCTTTCTACTTTAACTAAGAACACAATTTTCTTCACTACTTCTGCTGCAGTTGATTTACTTTGTCTTTCAAAAGTATGCGACTTGTATGCCTTGTGGCGCTTACACAAAACGCGCACACACAAGCAATTCCGAGTTTTTCTACCGCTCCGTCAACTCTCGAACGCTCAATGCAAAAAGTTGTGCCAAGTTCTTTGCCCATTGCCGCGCTGTCGGTTCGTTGTCCAGGCACGCTTTGCCAGCCAATCAGTCTCCTTCTCGTTGCCGTTAACATTTCTTATGCCTCATCAGTCTTTTCACTTTTCACTTTCCAAGTTGGCCCCTTTCGCAGCAGCGGCAACCCTGCGCTAAGATCTCCGTGCCATCAACCCCGTCACCTTCGTTGGCGCTTTGCAAAAGTTCATTTATTTTCCGCGGCAGTGTTTTATTATGCATTTCCTTAACTAATTTGTTTTTCTTGAGGGCTTTTCCTTCTTGTCACGCTCTCCCTCGGCCTCAGCTCATAACTACCATGCTGGCAGTGGTTTTCTTTCCTGTATTCATGTATATATTAATGTTCATACAGTGGGGAGCAAAAATGAGTAATGGTGATTTTTGTGAAATATTTGCAAAGTTCATTAAGTTAAAATTTTTTATTATTTTTTTATAAAAATATGGTTTATGTATATTTTTAGCAAAACTACTTATAGAAATCTTCTTAAAATTCAGAATAAAAAGTTCAAAATGTTAATGAAAGCTTGTATAATTTTTCTAAGCTCTGTATACAGTTTGAAAGTTTGACTTCTATAAGTAATAATAATAATCGATTGGCGCTTACACATATGTTAGTGTTTGGCCGAGCTTCTCCTCTGATTTGTGGCGTGCGTCTTGATGTTGTCACACAAAGGGGAGGGACCCACAGTTTTACGCCGACTCCGAACGGTGATTGTATTTTTATGAGAAGCTATTTTTCATGGCAGAAATACACTCGGAGGTTTGCCATTGCCTGCCGAGGAGCAACCGCTGTTAAGAAAAAATCTTTTTTCTTCCTCTCTTTTGCGATGTGGGTTAAAAATATGGTTTGTATATTTTTTTAAAATAACAAAAAAAAAAATTGCTTTAAAAACCTTGAAAATATTAAAAAAAAACTCACAATGTACTCATATTTGCTCCCCACTGTATGGACATATGTATAGTTTGTGCTTCAGCCTTGAGGCAGTTATAGTTGTTTTCGTTTTTTTTTTTTTTTTGTTTTGTTGCACTTGTACGTGTCTTTGTCTTGAACCTGCCTTGGCTGGCAGGTGGAAATAATCTTCCGCTTGATTGTTTTCTTTGCTCTCATCACGCTCTAGCGTTCGTCTTTGCCATTGTGGGGCGCAGCTCTTCGCTCGCTTGCATGCGATTTATGTATTTGTTTACTTTGGCCAAGTGTACGGTACTTTAGTTGGTTAGTTGGCATAATAATTGCACAAAGGTGTTATAAGTACTCATAATGAAAGTAATGGCACACGCTGAGCACGAGTTTAAGGCACGGTGCACATTAGAGCGATGCGACACGCGCAATACCGCTTGCGGTGTGATAGCAAACCGTGTGGCTCGGTCGATACGCAAGCGATATTATGTCGTCGCAGTGTCGCTGTCGTGAAAGTGTGCACAGTTTTTATCGCTTCGTACCGATTTCCACGTACCTACATAGCATGTCGATGTCGCTTTCATATCGTATCGCCTATCGTATCGCTCTAATATGCACCGTGCCTAACGGAAAAATCAGTGCTGAGGGTAATGGGGACAACCAGAAGAGGCAGGCGTATTTTAAGGTTTGTCCAATGGACTTTAAGCTACGCAAAATTCATACCAGAAATGTTTTAGGTGTGAATCAATGTTTTGCAGAATTTTTTTTTTTGCATTGGAGATACCATACTATTTATGTATGTAGAACACTACTCGATGTTTAAGCACTCTCCTTAAACCATTTGCCTAATTGCTCACTTCCTTATGCAAATTTTCATATTACCTGTAAATCTGCAACAGTCACACTGCCTCTGCCACAAAGTCGCTTATTTCTAGAACCCCTCCCACCGTCTACACATCTATCTACATGGGTAATATTCTCATATTGCATGCTCGTTAAATGTCAAATTTTAAATATAAAGGAAACATTCCGCCAAACGACTTCTCGTAAAACACATGAACACGACGCACTAACACAAGCGCATCCGTGCAATTTTTGTTATCGCGTGCCATAGTTGTATTTATTTTTTTTTGCAATTTACTTGCGTGAAATGTTGAAAATGTTGCCATATTAAATTCATAGCTGCTGTTTTATGTGATTTTGTATTTTTGCTTCTTTTTCTTCTTTCTTTCATTTCAACGGGGAAAAATGTAATTCAACTAGAGCATTTTTGCGTAAAATTTTTTTTTCTTTAATGCACGCATAGAATATGTGACCACAAAACTCGTAAAAGACTTAATCACACGTCGCTAATTCTCCTGAAAGTGTTCTTAAGTACAACATCCTTAACATTTTGAAAGGAAAATGTATGTACATATATAATTTCGTCTTATTTTGCACCCTCTTTTTTCGTTCGCCCTCAGCGCTTCACTTGTCCGCATCATTAAATTCGAAAGTTATCGTAGCGTTTCACCAAAGATTATGATTTGCACACTTGGACCGCGAAGTTGTCGGTGTAAAAAAAAAAAAAAAAAAAAAATTACCTAACCAAACGCAACAAAACAGCAAATGAAAACACAGTCTTCTAAGTGCTAAAGAAACGAGAAACCAGACACCGAAATATATAAAAGAGCTTACGCTTAATACGCTCATTAACTGTAATTGCAAAAAATATTCTAAACGCCTTAATAATCCGTACAACACAAACATAATGCACACGCGTACATACCCCGCAGGAAATGTGACTTATAACTACCCCAGCAGCTAAATATAAGTTTTGAATTTGTTATTTTCTTCGGCCGTAACTAACTACTTTACTAAGGCAATGACCGCAAATAGCCAGGCAATAAGTGTCAACTAACTTGTAACTAGCTACTTTGGGACATAAAATATCAATAAAAAAGCATGCATTTAAAAACCTACTTGAGAAATCAGTCCGAACTATTCGATCTTAATTTTATTCGTCCTGAATTCGAAAAAGCATCTGTGAAGTGCAAAAAGTGTATTCAAAGTACTCCTAATTACGTCTGCATGACTTTACCCTTCACTTAAACTTAGCTAATAAAAGTGAGGTTTTCACCGAAATCCCGCAAAATTGTTTACCGCAGGGTATGTATGCTTCTATGTATGTACATTATGTTCCCATACTCGTCGCTGTGTTCGTCGCTCAGCGATGACAATAAAACCACAATTTTCATCTACGCCTGCTTGACTTGCAAATTACGCAGAGAATCGTCAAAAAAGTTATTGTTGCAAGCGCATATACAAGTAAACACAAAAAATCATTCACACACGTGTATGCATGTATCTACTCTTCTTCTTCTTTTTTGGCGCTGTAACCGCCTAAGCGATTTTGGCCGAGTTCAGCAAAGCACGCCAGTCGTTTCTCCTCTGTGCCAACTGACGCCAATTGGAAACGCCAAGTGAAGCCAAGTCCTTCTCCACCTGATCTTTCCATCGCAGTGGG